AAATGTTATGGCGCCGAATAATAGATACATGTAATTTACAATTTAAGCATTGTGCAGTTACATTGTTCCTGAAGTAAACAACTTTCTCGTCTTCTGTAGTTAGAAAATAATATGAGAGAATATTTCACTTAAGGATTCAACCTTGATAAACTAAAGCAAAGTAGAAATTATCTACCTCTCATGATATAATTTATGCTTGTAGGATTTATCTCACTATAGCACAGGGCTGAAGAAGTTGACAGACAGTGCCGGATTAAAGGGCTGATGAGGCTGTAGCCTTAGGCCCTCGAGCTTAGGCCATAATTTGATACTTAAATTTAAATTTTTGGCACAACTTCACAAGTTAAATGATTGAATATTTCAATTTGCTTGAAGATTTACAGTGTAATGATTCATTTACAATATCTACATAATATACGATAGTGTGTGGGGAACAGGTTGTTTGGGTTCACACTCAGGATGGGATGGAGAAAGGAAACTCACAATGTGCTCTCTGTATACATGTTGTATTGGATGTACAATGCAGCTTGGTGCTGGGAAGGCAGCATGGTTACAAGCGTTGAGTAGAGAGAGCTGGTTGGTGAGGGTGCTCAGAGGAGGACCAGCTTGTGGGTCGCCATGGTCGCCGGCGGGAGCGAGGGCCGCCAGGCAGAAGAGGAGGAGGTGGTGTTGCTGGTTGGTTGGTGTAGGTAGAAAAAGAGAGAGAGGTCACCACGAGGTCAGGTCTTAAATTGCGGAGGTAGGCGTGGCTTAGTAGTTGACCTCCATGATGTATGGCGGCGCTGGTTGACCCAGACCACGAGGCATACACTGGGGAATTCGGGGTCGGCTACTCAGCGACAAACAGCGTCTGTAGGGAAGGTATCCACTACAAGTGCATAAGTAGGCCCCTCCCTCTATCAGCCTTAGGCCACTCACAAATTTGATCTGTCCCTGCTGGCAGACGATGGGCTCAGTTAGTGAGCACTGTGAGGAGAAAACGCTAGCGTTCGATATTATATTTGTTAGATAATGTGACACATTTATATATACACTTCCTAACTGATGGTCGTGTGTTGTGTTCACATGGAAATACAGTACACAGTATAGCATTTACCTGTATTTCTAATTAATTATCCTTTTGACAATTGTTACTACCACGCCTATACAAGACTCACCGTATCATCATCTACTTGTTAAAATAGTCATACAATATCCCTGCTGGCATGGTTCCAAGGTTACATTGAAACATTATTTTCACCATTCAAAAAATATTACAAAATTTAGAACGTTGTTATGATCCTGCCAGCCAAGCTCCATAATGAGAGACTGTTACCCTTCAATTATGCTTTTCTTTTATGTCATTTACACTCTGAAACTATTATCTAATCAATAAAACATTCAGATATATTGAGAAATAAAGTACAAATACCAATTTAAGGGGAAGTTGTTGGTACATATATGGTGACATTGTTATCAATTTGGTGGTTTAATTACCGGTACCTGACATATAAAGAGAAATGTATGTAAACAGTTGTTATCCCATGATATAGCAAATTTCTCTCTTAGGGATTGATAATTGTCATTCGATCCTACAAAGTTTTTTCTCTAAGTATTACAAGGGTAAAATATGTTAAGTAGGAAATGCACTTACTAAGAAATCGGTTGGTTGTTCTCTTCACCTAATTTCCTTTATTGGTGGTAACTGAACAGGTACACCAATTCTTAGTCTCAGAAATAACAGCTTCCTTTATTTAAATCCACACTCACTATCTTTCTATATTATCCTGATGGTCACCACCTCATTATATGTTTTAGTTATAAGTTAATTTTTTTCGTGTGAAAATCTTAGTAAGCTTATACCTTTCAGGTACCCATTATAACAATCTTTTCAAATGGACAAAATTTTTCAAATAAGCTGTTGATCCTGTGAAGTGTTAACCTACTGTACTATCTCTACAGAGAATGATTCTCTTAAATTTTGTATCAGGTACAGGGGTGTATTCTACAATGTTTCTGTATCTACGCTCAGTTTGGATTGATAAATTGTTAGCCGAATAAAAAATAAATCTTTCCATCTGCTCCAGTAGTGTACGGTAGTTATATAGCCAACGTTAATTGCAAATGATAAAATGCACCCAGTTGTGTCTAGCTTCTTTCCTAAAAACATATCTAAAACTTAACTTGGTGGTACATGTACTGTACTGTATTACAGTACTCTATGGCAGTATACCTTTACCATGAGATAGCGACACCCATTTCCAAAGAAAGAACGAATTTTTCAGGTAATAATGAAGCTGATCAATTTAACACAAGATGTTCCCAGATTCTTGTGATTAAGAAGATATGCTTCTTCAATTTATCAGACCCCATGATCTTTGAAATAACAGATCCCACTGTTCTTCTAATTCAGTAATCATCAGGGAACACAGTACAGTACCCCTATGTAATAACTAGTTATCCACAGCATATAGCACTTGTGTAGTAATATCAAGCAAAACTGGTCAGAACTTCTAGTCCTGTATTTCAGTTGGCTTCATTCTTCAAGTCTGATACTGTTTGTCATATTATGGAATAAATTTCGTTTGTGTTTACCTTTACTTTAAATGTTCTCTTGTTCTAACTGGGTTTTGTTTTGTTCTGTTGCAGATGTATATGGATTTATGAGTTGAATAAAGCCTTGATTACTGAAGGTGTTTGATATCATACGACACTGTACTGTATACTGTACCATACTGGCTACATAAATTACCAAATTTTATAGTACCAATTTATGGATGAGGTGGGATCAAAGCCTCCCCAAGATCCTTCACTCACTGCAACATACAGTATATCAGGATGATCTGTAGTTATGATCGTGTTATGGCAGAAGAGCAACAATGAATAAAATGGGTTAACTTAGTCAATTATTTCCCTTCCCAAAGGCTCTTTCAGTGTATCACCTCTTCAGTGGTCAGTATGTTAAGCCCAGGACAGTAATACATAATGTGAAGTTTAAAAAATTTCTTGTAACCACTAAATAAGATGATTGAACAAGTGTCATCCCTAAATGTGAAGGACAATCTTATGTGTTCATTCCTCCCACACCATAAAATGAGGTTCTTAGCTTAATCCATTCTTTTATACACATATCACAATACCTGTACCATACCTTGCTCTAATTTCATGTTATCCTATTCCTATTCACTTCTGTAAGCTTCCATGTTTTGATTATTGAACAAAACTCACATTTCACTATTTCTAATGCCTTGTTTCCTCTGGTACTGAAGAGTTAGCCACATACTGAATCTGTCCTAAACAAAATACATAAACATTCACACAAATATAACAACAGTTCTCTGGGGATTCTTCTCCTCAGAGCTGTTTACCACAAGTTTTAATCCACAGACTAATAGTATCTTCCTCACTCTTTATGTTTAGAAAGTAGAGTAGACTTGTCACCCTGGGTAATACTTTATCTGCAGTAAAAAAAATTCCTGATGAAAATTTTTTCCATTTATTTACAATATCAACTACAGTATGTCATCTACAAAAATACTGATATTTTACACATTTTCTCCCATAACCATATCGATGGACAAAATTATACGTTAGGAACACAATATTCTCTAAATCACAGTTCAATAACTACAGTAATTAACTAAAATCTACTTATATACTAATGTTCAATGAATTATACACCCGTTAAAAAAAATAATAATAAAAATAAAAAAAACTGCAATTTTAAATGGGAATTTACTAAGTTACTGGGCCTCATATATCTTCTCCAAGTCTATAACATTAACTCATCACTGACAAGACATAATCTGATTAACTTAAGAGAGAAACTTATCAGCTTAATTTTCTGAAATGTAATTTATACTCGACAAATACAAATTCAGTGGCAGTGACATGAGCAATGGTAAATAGAACAAAAAAAGTCCTCTTAATAAAAAAATCATTAGATTCGGGTTTATCAAGTAACAAAAAAGCATCAACTTCTTAATTCATTCATGAATCTGAGAGCTGCAATTGGCTAAATTATTAAGTAACTTATTACGTGCTTGATACTATATCTATACAGGTACTTTAAAGTTCTTTACTACATTTGGTACCGTTATTAATTTTTTTTCACAAACAACAGTTTGTCTTGAATGAGTGATTCAAGACAATATACTGTACAAATAAATAAATCCACAAAGTTCCCAACACAAAAATTTAAGACTCTTACCATAACACATCCTAAACATTATATTCTTCATACAGTATAAAATACATAAATAAATAAAATAAATAGTACAATACTGTATATGGAAGATGAATAATTGATTAGAATTGTAACAATATGTACCTAGGAAATACAGCTGAGTCTCAGTATTTTGCACAGTATGGAAACAAAACCCATTGTGGAATAATAAATTTAGCATACAGTATTAGCAACTACAGTAGTTCACCTCTACCTACCTCTGTGAATAAACTACAACTGCTTGTATGTATTAATACTATACTGTAACTACAGTGCAACTGCTGTGTGTAATAAAACAGTACTATACATATGGAGCTGTATGGTACACACAATATGAGTCACAAGGTTAAGGTCCTGTGATGACAATAATATACTCTACCAAGTTTTGCTGATTTTCTTAACATATGTATGTGTTGTTGGCGGGACAATATATGTTCAGTCCCAGCATGGACCATTTGTCAACTTAGTGTGACTTCCTTCACATTAACTTACTGATTTTTAGCTATTGTACTGTACAAAGTACTGTATAGTACACCTAGACCCCGACTAACGACTACGTGGACTTACAACCGTCGGGACTTACGACCGCCGCAGATTTTTTATTAAAATTTTTTTTTTTTTTTCCAGATGACACATGCATTTTCTATACCGAAACGTAGTCCATTCCTTATTATTTATTACTTTCACTGTACTGTATCCATTCATCATTATTCATTATTTTTACTGTACTGTATTTCATTGTAGATTTTTTATTAAAAGAAAATTTTTTTTTTTTATCTATGTCGGACTTACGACCATGTCGGACTTACGACCTGGATTTGGGTCCCTAACCCCGTCGTAAGTCGGGGTCTAGGTGTATATATTTTTGTGCCACCCATTACTGAAAATTATCTCAACAGCAGTGTTCAGAAAGGCAAAATACTGAGACTCTCCTACACATGTACAATATTGATTCTCCCAACTGACCCTCATTACCAGTTCTAAAAGTGAGTGACATGGTCTATAACAGCGCTTCGCATAAACGTGCCAAAAACAGGAACAAGTCTTGATACAAGTACTACCGGTATATATTTAAAAACCTGCCAACAGAAGAATTTAAAAAAAAAGTACCTGTATTGCAAATGTAATTGGTTTCAAAACGATGTACAACAAATGTACACTTTGTAAAAAGTGTTCTTAATATTTCAAAGTAATATACAGTGTACATGTTTAATCCCTCATGTGTACAGTATTTGTGCATTAAAACGTGTGTGTGTGTGTGTGTGTGTGTGTCTGTGCACCTGCTCATGTTTCTGCCCACCAACATTAAGATGTAAGAGGTTTGAAAAAAAAAAATACAGGTTAAAGAAATTTTAAAGAGAAACTTGTCACCTCAACATGAAATGCTCAGTATACTGCCTGTGAAGAACTGAAGGGGAAACCCGTCCACAGTCACAATGTAGGCTCCCAAAGCCGACGTTGTCAAGTTGACCCACGGCATCAACCGAGTGGGTCTGGTAGCATAGTGTATCACGGACCGATAAAGGATAGATTTGTCACTCCCTATTCAATACTTGAGGGACACCATTCAGGTTTTTATGTCTCCAGCTTGAAACATTGTGCATTATGGCCCCACAAAAGTGCTAAGTATTCTATTGGCTATACATCGGAAAGGTTACTGATGGAACTATAAGTACAATATTAATTGATAATCTGAATGCCATACTAAAAAGAGGGAATGAGATACATAGGGGAAAAAAGGAAGTTGTGAATGTGAACCAAGTAAGAAGTTAATCTTGATGGTGAAGCTGGAACAGTGACAAATATAAATGCCTGTGGGAGGGAGATATGGAATGGGGAAACAAGTGATTGAAAATGGGAAGGGCAGAATACTGAATGGAATAAACATATGGAGGAGGCAACAAAAAAAGGATAACTGAGAAAAATAGATGCAACTCAGGTGATGGGGAGGAGAGAGGACACTAAGAGTCAACAGTTATGTAGTTCAAGTGCATGAACGGTATTATCACATAGTCACAGGTCAAATGGGCCCCAGTCCTACAAGGCCCTACTTTTAACTTAACCATTTAGACTGGGTCCCAGCCTTAACAGCTAGCTTTGATTACCTTGGGGCTTATAATGACTGGAATCAATAAATCACTGGAGCTTATTTTTGACCTTAGTATACCTGGGGTTCGTTGGGTTATACAAATGAGCTTCTTTATTAGTCGTGTGTTGTATAGTGAGAGATGGCTAGTCAGGTGAATATTAACAAGATGTGAACAAGAAAAAAGCTGTAGAGGAATAAATCAATACAAATTAAAAAAGAAGTTGCTGCAGATATTACCTATAAAACACTGATCAATACACAACCTCTTGGTCCAATATTATTTTGCTTACTGTAAAAATATTATTTATCTTTATTAAGATTCAAACAAGTGAAGGGAGAACGGGTGCATATTTTTGCTCGAGTCCAGCTGCCCTATACTGTATTTAGCAGGAAAGGGAAAGAAAATCTACACAAGTCCCAAAGCATTTCAATAAACTGCTATATGATCTTAGAGTTAGTACTACTTTTGAACATACCAAAATTAGTTAACATTATCTATTCTAAGCTACAGCATCCCTGAAACCAAGAAAGGTACAAATGTAAATAAACTGCTAATAATCCTTGTGTTTAGCTGACATTAAATAGTATGAATTTTACTTGAGGAAATATTACTTCACACCAATACCTTTACAAAATCACAGTATACAAAGTACATACAGTATGTACATAGTGTTAGATGCATAATCTTGAAACTTGATAATTATTTTCTCTTGGATTAAGCTGCTAGAAATATGCTACAACATCTTCTAATTACATTCTAAATACACCAAAGTTTGTCTTGGGAATAGAAGCATTGAGAGATGCCGACAGTGAGAGTCCAAGGACATGCCGAGTGTCCACTGGGTCAATCACACCGTCGTCCCACAAACTGTAACAACAAGGGGGATTACAGATGTACAACAATTATACATAAAGTCAGGAATATCTCTATCAGCCTATACACAGCAGACCATTAATAAATTACAGTAAGATTAAAACTTGAATTAGACTGGTCATTAGTGTTGTCAAGAAATAATAATTTGTCCTTAAAACCACCTGGCCAAAATAAAACTGTGCAAAGAAAAATTTTATGGAGATTCATGTTATAAATGTTGAGTTTTCCATTAGAGGCAATAAAACATAACTAAATACAGAACAGTTTCTACAACACCAAGTTATAAATGCAGCAAAACACAGTATTATCTTTTCCAAAATACAATACAAGGTGTATCTACATTTTGCCCTTCAGTTATTTAGTAATCTCCTCAAGTCTCCCCTTCTAAAAGAAACAACAAATAACTTAATATAAGCTGGCAACATGAACATCAAGGTACTTTGGTTTGAGACAGAACCTACCGTGCACTGGAGAAGTACGGAGATCCTTCTGCTTCGAAACGTTTAATAATAGGAGCCTTGAGTGCCTGTTCCTCTTCATCTGTCCACTAGTATGGGATAAAAATTTACTTTTAGTTCAATATGCAATTAAGTTAACTAACTACAAAAACTGTAAATTTACCAGCCTTTATACACATAACACAGAAAGCCAACCAACAACTTGCCTCTTTGCCTTCGCGGCGTCGCTGTTCTCGCGTGATCTGTGCCAGTACACCCGCCGCCTGCTCACCACCCATTACACTGATGCGACTATTTGGCCACATGTACATAAACCGGGGCCTGTAAAAACATACCTCTTTCAAGGTCTGTCGTTGATCATGCAATGGAGAATTTCAAAAGAAAGTTTAGAAGAAGATGAACTTTCTTTACCACTGTTTAAACATCATTTGGTATATTTTACGCCTCTGGTTGACCTATATGCAATAACAATTATGCATCAACTCTATAAAGGGAAAATCTTTAAATCAAAGAACAGCTTTTTGCACTCCTGCAAATTTTTTCCTGTTATAAAGAAACTTACTGGGATCAAATGCAAACACTCTCTCCCTCCATAATCTGTCCATTACTTACTCTGACTGCTCAAACTATGTACAGTAGTACAGTATTTTATTTTGTTAATGCATAACACTTATACTTTCAATATACTGTACAGTATTATAACATTACCCTCTCAATATACACACTAAATATATGAACAAGGACCTCAGTTTTAAGGAAGGATACTAAGTAAACATTATAGAGGTGGGTGGGATACTCCCCCCCCAATATAAAAAACACAACTTATAAAATCAAGAAAAAAGTTTGGTAGCTTAATAAAAAATATTAATTCTTACCAAGACTCCTGATCTCGACCTAAGCCACAAGAATTCACCACTTCTTCTCATTCTTCATCCAACTCACCATAAAGATAATTGCACAGTACCTCAGGTAATAATGTCAGTTATGCTGGTACTCCAAGCTGTATCAATCAGTTTTAAAAATATCAATTCTGCCTGACTCACTCATGATGATGCAACTTATGACTGACACCTTCTCACCCTTATTTTCACAATCATCTTACCCATAGGCTCTTCCACACATGCCATAGTTGCCTGCGCCGTACGACCCTCCGATAACGACGGTAAACTTGGGAACTTGGGCACAAGCCACAGCCGTCACCATTTTGGCTCCATTCTTGGCAATACCTCCAGCCTCTGCCTCACGACCAACCATAAAACCTGAAGGAATTACCAAGCAACTCACCAAAAACACAAGTTTTATTGGATTAAAATAAAAATATTAATGATTCAGCAGTTGTTAGGTATAATATAAACAAAAATCTAAAGTAACCAAACCTGTAATATTCTGTAAGAAGATCAAAGGAATCTTCCGTTGGCAGCAGAGCTCAATGAAATGTGTTCCTTTAAGTGCAGACTCAGAAAATAGCACACCATTATTTCCAATGATCCCCACAGGATAACCATACAGGCGGCCAAATCCACACACCAGAGTTTCTCCGTACCGAGCCTGCAACACCACCATGACATATATCAAACAGATGAATAACTGCCAAGATTGGCAAAAAGCTTCAAAACAAACACAGTACAGCATGCCCTTCAAATTCGCAGGGGTTCACAAAATGGCTGCGAATCGCCAAATCCGCGAATAACATTTGTTGACTTAGGGGTGGGGGACCATTTTTATTTGTGTACAAAGAAATGTATATTCCCTTTATGTGTTTGCCCTGAGGACAATTATTTCTTTTACCTTTATTGTACAAGTATATATATGTGTGTGTGTATGTACTACTACTACTTTGCTGTCACTCGGAATCGAGAATGACAGCATACTGAAGTTCAGTAATGGAAGCTGCTGACACCTTTGTTCTTGCCTGGAGTCGTCTTATGTTGAAAAGACCCCCCCCTTCACCCGATACTCGATGTCCACCCCGCCGGCTAAATTGGCACTGGCACGAGTAAGGAATGCAGCCAAGAAAATGGAAAAGAGAGTTGGTGCCAGTACATACCCTTGTTTAACCCCCGTTTGGATGGGGAAGAACTCAGACTGGGTGCCGTTGTGCATGACACTGCCGTTCATGCCATCGTGGAGTTGTCTCACAATGGCGATGAATTTTGGTGGGGAGCCAAAACGGCTAAGGGTCCACCAGAGGGCTTCCCTGTTGACCAGTGAAGGCCTTGGTTAGATCGATGAAAGCCATGTACAGGTCACGACGCTGTTCTCTGCACTTTTCCTGTATCTGGCGGGCAGCAAAGATTATGTCTGTGGTGCCACGTGATGGTCTAAAGCCACATTGGGATTCTGGAAGGAAGTTTTCCGCCTCAGGAAGAAGTCTGTTTAGGACGACTTGGGCGATAATCTTGCCAGCTACGGACAGCAGCGAGATCCGCGGTAGTTGCCAGAGTCTGACCAGTCTCCCTTGTTCTTCTAAATATTGACGATTGAGGCGTCTTTAAGAGCTTGGGGGATTTCCTCCTTTTCCCATATATTCTCCAGGAGAGTGTGGAGACAGCTGGAAAGCAGATGTCCTCCTGCTTTATACACCTCGGCTGAGATTCCATCAGGCCCCTATTAATAACAAAGCATGGAATGGAGTTGAGGGTAGACTCAGCATTTAAAAAAAAAAAAATTCTGACTATTTGTGAGAGGATTTTCCCATTATTCTTTATCTGTACAGTGACTCCTCGTTTAATGAACACCTCGGTTAACGTAATTTCGATTAACGAACTGCCTTCCATAAGGATCTTCAATTCGGTTAACGAAAAAAAATTCGGTTAACGAAGTTCTTACGAACTGACCTCAACATGTTTTCGCTTGCACTGACCGGGCAACCAGCTTTAGTATCAGTCCGCCAATACATTAATCGGTTCTAGGGCTTAAATTCCTTACTATTTTAGTAAATATCAAGAAGTTTATACTATTCAATAATTATAAAAGTTAAATATTCAATTTTTTAGTCATTTTAACAATTATTGAACATAATTGAAGGTAAAGTGACTAGTTTAATGCGCGGCATCCAGCCTCTTAACACAGCAAACAGGAGTTAGTCTCTCTGTTTTCACTGGAGGTAACATCTTGCTTGAGACTCTCTTCAACTAAACGCTTTTTTTCTGTGTTTCCAAGCAAATTATTGGTCATTTTGAAATATATTTTACATATTGACAATATATAATGCAGTGCAGTGTTGATTTAAAGAAAATAATCTTGAATTACACCAAGAGAGCTAAAATTTTATGGGTGAAATGGCGCCATGGGGTGACTTCTCTTCCACCCCAATGCCTTCTCTTTTTCCTTCTCCTCCACCCCCATTCTAAATCCCATCATCATCATCATCATCCAGGAGCCTTCTACATACACACCTCAAAGTAAGTGAACTTTTCTACCATTTCTGTTGAATTTACGAAATTTTCGGTGAGCTGGAACCAATTACCCAAAAACCCATTGAAACAATGGTTTCGGTTAACGAACTTTTCGGTTAACGAACGACCTTCTGGAACGGATTGAGTTTGTTAACGGAGGGGTCACTGTATATGTTTTGTGTGTGTCCACACACACACACACACACACATATATATATATAATACAGGTAAATGAAATTACTGTCTCTAGAACGAATGGCTCCCTGTCCTGGCCACGAAAATGCCAGCAACTTTAAAACTAACCTTAGACATTCTTGGGTGCATCCAGGGGTGTCATCCACGAATAATAGAGGACCGAAGACTAAAAATCTGTGAATTATCTGGGCGTACTGTACTTGAATTTTACAGAATAAGGAAAATACTTTGGTCATATAATTAGGCATGATGCAATAATAATAGAAATGTTAATGGACAGAGTGGAGGGTAGGAGAGCCATGGAAAAGCAGAGACCGGGATGGACGAATGAAATTAAAAACTGGGTCCCCAAAGAGAATATATGTGCTACCAGAGTGTGAATCAATCAGTTGTTGTTTCCAGAATTGTGCAAAAAATATTCAACAACTGAAAAATAAAAGGATTCAACCTGGTGAATAAAATTATAATAACAGGATGGATAAAGGAGGAAAGAAGATGGAGAAGAATACCAGACAGGAGTTTATTCAAAAAAGAATGAAACTGGTGTCGTTTTTGTTAATACTGCACTGTGCTATAGCCAGACTATAGCCTCCTGGCTGAAACCTGTAATAAACAGATGAGGTTCTCAGGATAAGGGAACATGATGTGAAAGAAACAGTTCCTGTAAGTTTGAATGCTCCATCAGAAAGATTGGATTATTTATCAAGTCTATGAGTAACAGAGTACCTAGCACAACCATCAAACATGAGAACACAATTCATGCACAAAAAAGTTTAAATTAAAAAAAAAATACAGTACACTAAACCAAAGGTTATACTATTAAAGAACAAAAAAATTAAATACGTCCTTTACTTTACTGTATTTGTTGATAAAGAGTAAAATGCACATGATGAAGAAGAATACTGTACTGTACAGAATTAAAACCACTTGTCTCACCTTAAATTCATCAAACTCTGAGCCATCAACAACTCGCCCAATCACCTCCCTCACATCATATGTTTTCTTGAGGTTGTCGCCAACAATGCCGTACAGATCATGAGCAGCAAACAGGGGTTCCTTAACCTCTCTGATCGAGGTCTGAAGCAAACATATAACACATCATTAACAATCAGTCATCCTGCTTTGAAATAATGATTAATACAATGTTAAACTCAAAAGATAACTCAATATACCTTTGATGACAGCTTTTGAGATAAAGTATTCAATAAACGTAACTCACCTGAGGGTTCTTTGTACGGTTGAGTGTGCGCACAATTCTTCTTGCAAGATGAAGGGCATGAGTGTCATCTAGAGCATAATGATCAGTCACACCTGATTTTCTGGAAAAAATATATAACTGAAAATTAATTGATAATAAATAATTAAGTAACAAGGTGTTCGTAATCTTGTGTAGGCTTTTAAGAAGTACTGAATCACTATTGTATCATACTGAGCTAATTACCAGGGTCACTGGGTACAGTCCCCATCACACTAATGCATTTTTTGTTAACAGGGATTAGCCCACCCAGGCACAGGTCACTGACCCACATCGGGGCCTGGGGGGCGAAAATGTAATAACAATCAGGGGGTCGTCAGGTTTTGTGCAGTGTGGCAGCCCCGTGTTTGTTGACATTCGACAGAAGAAAACTCGCAATAGTAAACATACTATGGAATCAAATTAAAACAATATTAAAACAAATATATCAAAGATAATGATTTGTGGAATGCTTACATGACAAGCCCCTGTAAATGCACGAGTGAAGGGGACTGTATATAAAGGTCACCAGTGTTGGAGATCAAAGTTTAAAACCACCTTGGCAAAGATCTACCTTACCATGTGGTGGGTCATATAATCTGACCCTCCTTCCAGTCACTGAACTACTGTATGATGAGACAGAAGTGGTGGTTCTAGTATCACGTGGGATTCTTCGGCAGTTTTCCCTTGCAGGTCATTTTTCCCATTAATTGAAACATATTTTCTAAACCAAACTAGCCTTACTGGCTGCTTAAAACAACCTCCCAAGCCTTCCTTGGGCCACACTGTGCTGAGTGACATCCCTGACCAGTAGTCCAAGGAGGGCATAATTAAAAGAGAATATTATATACACAAGGAAGATGAACGGTGCATAAAGTAATGATAAGAACATGGGAAGAGCAGAGAAGTAACTGATGAATATAAAGAAGGAATACTAAAGGTCTTGGGAGAGGGAGAAACCAATCTTCTGGGTCACACAATCTGAGAGGAAGTGAACAGAGAAACAGGAGATATTGCAGAGGTTAGAGAGAAGGAAGTTACTGGTCAGGTGATTAGGTAATGAGGGGGTTGAGGGAGTAGAGCCTGAGAAATAGCATGAAAGTATGGACACAAACAAGATGTGAAATACTTCTATAATTCACATTGTTAAAAAGAATTAATTGTGTGATCCTCATGTGTACATTACCCAGAGGCTAAGGATTCCCTACTACACCTACCTCCTATATGCAAAAAACAGAATGCAGGAAACATGAAGATTCTATCGAAGATGGCTGCCATACCTCAAACTAACTTCCAATGATAATGGCTAGTGCTTAGGGATAAGACTTTAGGACACACAAAATGCACAGCAATTGGTACATACCCCCAAACAACATGTGCTATAACAAACACAAGGGAAATATATGGAATTGGCAATGGATTTATATGAATTCATTTCAGTATATATGAAGTTTAACTGATTTTTTGTTGCTTTGAGTCGAGTTTGGGGAGGTGCTCGGGGTCTGATCTGTTACTGACCTCTCCACACTTGACAGCACCAAACGAGAGATAATTATATGTAAAGGGTCATAGCAAGTTTTCTCTTTGAGATAAAAAGGTGAGATTTGTTGCAATAGCAGTGTAAATAAATTATCTACAAACACTTTTGTATAAGTAATCACAATAAAATAATTATTTCTATATGTAATCACGAATAGAACACGTTTTTTTACACTTAATTGCAATATGAACCTTATTCTGTTATATAAAGCATACATATTTAGGAAAAATAATTACTTGTATAGAAGAAAAGTTGCGAAGAAATTAATATTTTGCTGAGGAGAGTCATCAGGAGGCACCACGCTATCACCATGTGGTGCAATCTTCTTGCAGTTTTTAAGTTTTCACACCCCTCCACCCTCACCAGCAACTGAGGCATGGTTCAAAACTCTCACAACACTGTTATGAGTAAATGAAATCACTGTGATGCACAAGAAATCAGCACAAGCCGCAAGAAAATGTGCGGGAAATGTAGGTCAACGTTACATTCTGGGTCTTTTAAACACAAAAGGGAGACTGGTGCAGTGACCTTGGAGTGCAGTCTATATAGTTGCCAGATCGTGGTGACATTGCCAAATGTGCGTATAGTGTTCATACATAAACATAAAATTATTTTATTTTAGTTTACTTCATATGCAAATTTGTGTATGAAAACCCTAAAGCAATAATTTACATAATACGCAATTTTGCGTATGAAAACTCCAAGAGTGTTAACAATCCCCTCATGTGTTAATTACATAAAAGAAACTGCAACATTAACTTGATGCCATCACCTACCCACAGTGCAGGTCAGCTCCACCCAAGTCTTCTGATGATATTTCTTCTCCAGTCGCTGCCTTAACAAGTGGTGGCCCAGCTAGGAATATAGTTCCTTGACGTCGAACAATAACAGATTCATCAGCCATGGCCGGGACGTACGCTCCACCGGCCGTACAAGACCCAAGGACAACTGCAATCTGCCATTAAAGGAGAGGAAAATAGATTTTAATGACAAGGCAAAAATATTCAGAAAATATTTGTGGGTGGTGATAAAAAAAAAAAGTTTTGTCAAATTTCATAACAATAATCCTACAATGACAGGTCCCCATACTCCAAATTTTAACACATTCTTAAACTTTCTTATCCAGCATCAAAATAATCCTTAACTGTTAAAGAAATGTTATGGTTGAGCAAAAACGTTGTCATTTATATTGTTAAATATCTAGCTGGTCTGAAGTGGCTCTCTTTATCAACCACAGCATCATATTTTAATTGAAGTATGCCTTACAATTTCTGTTTAACCTATTTCAACTGTATCAGGTATTACTAGCTCTGAAAAAGGCCTTTGTTGTTGTTGCAGCATTGCTTCAAAAAATTTAATGCTGATGAAGTTAAACATTCATTGAAAATAGCCACTTGCTCCTTGAGATATTTGGTGGACGAAGGATTGTCTATACTGGGAGAATGCTGTACATTAAGTACTAGTAAGTAGGTGAGCTGTAGTGTGGGGGAGAGGGAAGCTTTCACCAGGCTGGCATCGGCACTTTACAAGGAGAGGATGGAATTCAACTGCAATCACTTCTGAAAGGAGCGGTGAACCCCAGTACCCTGTACAGTACAGTACAGTACCATAACAAATCTCATACTCCCAGGAAAAATAACTGTGATACTATTATACAGAACATATATCATAAAAATTTCCCCAAAAATTTATGTTAACATTGCACATCAATACCTTCTCACACAACAGCCCACCTGTGAAATGCCCTGTGATGACAAGTTTGCCTGATTGTAGAAGATTCTGCCAAAATGATCTCGATCAGGAAAGACATCAGCCTGACGTGGGAGGTTGGCCCCGCCTGAATCCACAAGGTAAACACATGGCAGGTTGTTTTCTTGTGCAATTTCCTGTGCCCTCAGATGCTTCTTGACAGTGATAGGATAGTAACTCCCTCCCTTTACAGTGGCATCATTCCCCACTATCATACACTCCACACTGCAAACATCAAATTAATATCACCATTTCCAAGTTTAGAAAATAATGTACATATCATTAACACCAAAGTTAAACTGTCGTAGACGTTTAATAAAATTACTACATATCTGAACTGTAAACTAGCTATCCTTAGTCAAGTACTGACTTGGTCATGTGGGTGTTAAATGTAAGTTAAAGGTTCTTCCTAACATTTAAATATTATTGAAAGTCAGTTTATGATGATTTTTAAATAAACACTGAAACAATATCTCAATTTATAGTACATAGTTCAGAATTAAAGTGAGAAAAAAAACAGAAAACACAATAATTATTCTCATCAACATTCTACAAATTGTTTACCTCTTTAAAAGAATCTTTTTGGTCTCATTCATTAAGATGGTGGTCAGGTAACTGTGGTTTACTACATCTATTTTTTAAAAGGTAATAATATAATTATCTCTAATACTAAATCAGCATTACAGTATTCGGTATTTCATAATTAGACAAACAATTTCATATTAAAAAACTTCCTATACTGTAGTTTGTGAAGAAAAATGGTAAAATCTTTATTTAACTGAACCATACTACAGTACACTGATCTTACCCAGAAATCTTGCCAATCCCGGTGATGATACCACCTGCCGGCACCTCCTCCTTGCCATACAGTCGGTAACCTGCCAGTTGTGACAGTTCCAAAAATGGGGTGCTTGGGTCAATCAGCTGACTGATGCGTTCACGAACCAAAAGTTTACCTAAAAAGAAAAAAATATTATAACTACAATTGTGCAAAGCCCAATGCACTTGACTGTGTACAGTTAGTTAAAATAACAATTTATTTCTTATTAAGTTAAAACCATCTCATTCTGAGCAATAAGTTACATGTTCTAATCATCAGAGTCAAACACAATAGAAATATTGATAAACATATACAGTAGTCATGTCTACAGAGTGTGAAAAAAATTATCATCAACATTAAAATGTAAAATAAAAAATAATATAAAAAAGAAATAACTTTCACGTGACTTGTTACCTTTACTCTTATGGCGCTCAATAGCCTTTTCTCCGCCCCCAAGTGCAATAGTGTCGGTACGACCCCGCAGTTCACCCACCAAGGCAGCCATTCTTGACTCATTTTCCTGAAAAGTGGATAATTTCAGTTATGATGCATCCATGCTTATCACCCAACCAAACCAAAGCTAACCTAACCCAACCCTAGGAGTGTCAGGTCAGGCTTGATTAGTTGATATCTTTATGGTACTTTTATCACTTATTTTGTGTGCTCTTTTATTTTCTGAGTGTATTATTGTTATCGGATGATCACTAATGTACTTTATTATATACATATTTTTAACACTATTTCCTATTGGAGGAACAGTAGGGGATGCAAGAAAAACTAATTTCAACTTTCTTCAAGAATATCCATAAAAACGTGAGAGGAATTACAACTTTCCTATTTTTGTTTCCTCCGTTTTTTATTAATGAGCACTATACAGTATATAGTTTGTGCACACTGGGACAATGCCATGCCTGCCCTCCTCCTGGTGACAATAAGGTAAGATAACAAAATAATAAGCTACCCTATATACTGTACCTAACCTAACCTTACGGTACAGTAACTCCATCCTAAGATAGGTTAGGTAGGTTTGGTTGGTTTATCTTATTTACGAAATTACTATAAATCATCAGTTGCTGGCAAACATTTATGGGTCACTTGAAATGCTGTTCAGGTATGAAACACTGTCCGGGTCAAAACCGCCTGACTAATGACACAAAAATAGCTGTAAAACCTTGTTATACAGTAGCTGTACTATTAATTCACGAGAATTTAAAATTGTGACTTCAAATTTTTTTTAAAAGTTAATGGGTTTTAGTTTGTATGAAATGGAAGTGTTCACATCTATGAAACATTTAATGCTCACATAAACAGTTGCTAATGAGATATTATTAATGCAAGAAAAAACCTACAGTATTACAAAAATTTATTAATCTACTGTTTCTTAGTGAGTATATAATGGTAGCGTTTATGTGTATGAAACGTTCCTGCTCACATACACAGTTGACATAGAAAGAAAGAAAGAAAACAGGAATAAACACAATATATACAACCAAAGTGAAATTCCTCCACCCGATTAGGTTAGATTAGGTCTGGTAGGTCTGTGTTAGATATAAACAATAAGTGCGGCCGGCATGGGTGTCACGATCCTCAACAAGTGTTCAGGAAGGTGAGGTTCATAAAATATATATCACAGGAAACATTGTCCTCTTCCATTTTTTTTTTCTTCATTTTCACGATATGAAAGCATTTATCGGTTAAATTTTAGTTACAGTCATCCCTGTATTGAGATATCTAATCTAATCTAATCTAATCTAATCTAACCTACCCTACCCTAACCTAATCTAATCTAACCTACCCTAACCACAGGACCCAGGAACTATATCTAAAATAATACCCCCTTTACCTTCAATGGTGAAATGTCAGGACTGCAGTAGGGTCTTATAATTACCCAACATTGTTTGTGTAATTTATTCATAAACACTAAACTAGGAAACATAACAACACCATTAATGAACAATTATGATGTGTTTCTGCTGACTCTTCATTCCCTTGAACCCTATCAAGAAATACAACGATATGACAAGCAATTCTTTCACAATCACCACCAAATTTTAACCATATAATCTCTCTAAATCACTTTATTACAGCCAAGGTGAGAAGTGATATGAAGACTGCCAGTCCTCGGTACATCAATGACTTATACCTGGAACTCTGGAGAATGTTTGTCAGGTGAAGACCCCACGGTGTTGACAGTGTCATTGTGGTAGTGGTGTTGAGCCCTGTGGTGCCTCAACACACACACAGAGCCTCGCAGTGACCTGGTAAGCAACATCCTCCTCACACCTCAACACTGTTCCTTCCTCACCTCCACCCAGTCACCGACGTCGGCTTTGACTCTACTTCCTTCTTCATTTTATTACTACAAACTAATAACAGTTGTTTATAGAACTATAATAAAGCTAAGAAAATTATTCTAATTTATGGTTCACTTTAACTAGAATTTGTGGTAATTTGGTATAATATTTATTACCAGAAATATATGTATCTCTTTTCGATATAAATGACCGGCCAGAAGCCGCCGAGACATCGCTTAGTGTCAGTCTTTGGCTCTATCTGTGGCACGGTTTCTCTTGGCACCTTTAATTTGTATTTTATTATGAAGTGTTATGTGAGTTAAGGATATTTTCTCAGTTAACTTTTTCAAAAGAAACACAGAGATTTTTAGCTAGTTTGAATTCAACAGAATGTGCGTCTTACATTATCTTTTAGATGTCTATTTATATTTTTTTGCTTTCAAACTTCATTGAATAAAATTACAATACATTCGTATATCATAACGTTATTATCTATACTATAGAGTCTTCTCTTAGGAGAAGAGTTATAATTGCTAATGCTTGGCCACTAAAGACCTTGAGAGTTACAAGTTCTTTCACTCCACTCCTTATACGAGTCAGGAAAAATCACAACATAAATATCGAGGAAATCAAGTCTAGAGAAGTTGAGCTGCCTCAGACGGCTGCAAAAACTATTATTAAACTCAACAGTCCTTTAGAATTATGTTTTTACAATAAACTGAGATAGGACAACAACTCTTAATGTGTATTAATGACCTTTTCAGTGTTGGTTGCATTGTGGAGGTGATCCTTTAGTCTATTGTAGTTTAAATACAATGTTGTGCTTCCTACATTTAATCACAGATTTGCTCGTCTATTTTTATAGAATCATTTTTACTGATTAGTCATCCAGCCCAAGCAAAAACCCCTTAATGGAGACCAGGCGATAGGTTAATTATGATGTCTTTGTTATCCTTGGTGAAATGACTTACTGTTTTCATTTGTTTGTACTATCTATGTATATTGAATACCCGCAATGTCTATTTTCACTATTTGTAGACCTACACTGTCTATGTTCATTATTTTTATATACACTGTTATGTACAATGTGTGTAAGCCTATATTTGGACTGTGTACGTACATTGTTTGTATACCTGCATTGTCTATGTATATTGTTTGTGTAACTTACATGCACTGTTTATGCACACACACGCGCACACCAGCCCATACGAGCACGAACTGATCGCTATAAGAACAGCCCAGTCCCAACCATTGTGAAAATTATCAATAACTCGTAATCAACCAGTGTATTCACTCCCAGTCAATCTTACCTTTTTGAACTGTCACTATGTTGAAATGCCCTGTAGTTTGACCTTCTCCCCACCTAGTTATTATATATCATATTTGTATCACTTATGTTGCCTGTATATTATTTTAAATCAAGAGACCCATTCCGGGCATTCCCCAATTATCTAACAGTATATTTTCGACCTTCCGGCTGCCATGCTCTTTCAATAAACCGTTAATTATTATTATTTATTATGTATACATGCATACTGTACATGTAAAGGTTGCCAGCGACAGGAAGTAGCTCTCCTCCCCCTCCCTCCACCACGCTTTTGAGACACGGCGCTGCCCTGGGATAGCTGGACATACTTCCTTGTGTCGACCGCTGGAAAAGGTTGAAGGTCAATGCATGAGGTCAGCAATCAGCGTATCCTTGTAGACCATGACGCTACAAACTCGTGTTTCCATCACTTCACTACTTCTGTGACATCAATATCAGCATGATATAATTTAGTGTTGTGATATTACAACCACCACGATACCTTAACTACCATGTCACTAGAATGGAATCATATTACTATCATGACGTCACCATTACCCCTCTGATATCACGAATTTCATCCCACCATGACATCACCACCTCCACGACGTCACAACTCCTAACATCACAACTTCCATGCCACCACACACGTACACACAATATCGTCATATCCCCATTAAGGTTATATATATATATATATATATATATATATATATATATATATATATATATATATATATATATCGAAGCATTCAACATGAATCTGAGTAATGGCATGTACAAACTGGACAATTTTGTAATTAAGAAGATTTGTAACCAGGTGAGAAGGTTGGGTCACCTTACCCTCTGACCTGACTACCGACCGTTGCCGTGCTATTTAAAGATTAGTAGGGTCATTACCTAATACCTGACCATTGTGGACCTGATCTCACCCTCCTCTGTATATATACACCTTGTTTTGTACTCCTCTTTAGTCTGTTGTTGGTCGATGCCCTGTGCCCGCATAGGCCCTGTTGTTGGTCGATGACCTGTGCCCGCATAGGCCCTGTTGTTGGTCGATGACCTGTGCCCGTCTAGGCCCCGCTGTTGGTCGATGACCTGTGCCCGCATAGGCCCTGTTGTTGGTCGATGACCTGTGCCCGTCTAGGCCCCGCTGTTGGTCGATGACCTGTGCCCGTCTATATGACCTGCCCTGTTGTTGGTCGATGACCTGTGCCCGCATAGGCCCTGTTGTTGGTCGATGACCTGTGCACATAGGCCCTGTTGTTGACCTGTGCCCGTCTAGGCCCTGTTGTTGGTCGATGACCTGTGCCCGTCTAGGCCCCGCTGTTGGTCGATGACCTGTGCCCACATAGGCCCTGTTGTTGGTCGATGACCTGTGCCCGCATAAGGCCCTGTTGTTGGTCCCGATGCCCTGTGCCCACGCCAGGCCCTGTTGTTGGTCGATGACCTGTGCCCGCATAGGCCCTGTTGTTGGTCGATGACCTGTGCCCGTCTGGGCCCGCTGTTGGTCGTGACCTGTGCCCTGTCTTGCATATGACCTGTGCCCGTCTAGGCCCGCGTGGTCGATGACCTGTGCCCGCATAGGCCCTGTTGTTGGTCGATGACCTGTGCCCGTCTGAGGCCCTGTTGTTGGTCGATGACCTGTGCCCGTCTAGGCCCCGCTGTTGGTCGATGACGCCGTTGGTCGATGACCTGTGCCCGCATAGGCCCTGTTGTTGGTCGATGACCTGTGCCCGTCTAGAGCCCTGTTGTTGGTCGATGACCTGTGCCCGTCTAGGCCCCGCTGTTGGTCGATGACCTGTGCCCGTCTAGGCCCTGCTGTTGGTCGATGACCTGTGCCCGCATAGGCCCTGTTGTTGGTCGATGACCTGTGCCCGTCTAGGCCCCGCTGTTGGTCGATGACCTGTGCCCGTCTAGGCCCCGCTGTTGGTCGATGACCTGTGCCCAGGTGGGCTATTCCCCATAAAAAGAAAAAGAAAAAAAAAGACCACTAACCTGAGGGAGCCGTGGACTTGAGCTGGCTGGGTTGGGTCAACGAACGTGTACACAAACATCCTGCAGGAAACATGACCTGTCAGTCGTTCCCAGGATCTGCCCACAAACATCCTCTGATAAAATTCCGTCACACCCATATTACCACTGACACACATAACTATATATTGTTCCAACCCTAATGGAGATAAACTTATCATGGCTTTGTTGGTCTGCCCATGGTAGTATCCACTTAACGTTTACCACTGTCTATGTCTATTGCTTGTGCTGCACTGTCTACTTACATCGTAAACATGTACTGTCTACGTACAATGTATACGAGCATTGTCTATGTACACGCTGATTCCATGTAAATATTGTATAGTGATTTCACTGAGTATCTATCTAATAATATTATACGTCGTGCCCTAGAGTTTAACCACGCCAATGAATGTGTCCTAATGACTGTGTGTGTGCGCAGACGACCTCACCCATGTTGCTCCCACTGAACAGGACCTACAGGAGATCCTGAACACTTATGTAGACGCCCATGCACACTTCGGCCTTGAGATGAATGTAAGTAAGACTCAGATTCTCTTTCAACCTGCCCCTGGTTCAGACACACCTCCACCATCCATCCAGCTTAACGGTACTACCCTCTCTAATGTTGCCCACTCTCGGTATCTCGGCTCCCACGTTTCCACCACAGCAGACATCGATGAGGAGATTCAACATCGGATCAGATGTGCTTCTAAAGCTTTTGGCAGACTCCGTACTCGTGTCTTCAGCTGTAGGAAGCTGAAATTATCTACAAAGTTGTACGTATATCAAGCAGTGGTCCTCCCCACCCTGCTATATGGCAGCGAGACATGGGTCACATACTGGAGGCACCTCAAGGCACTTGAAAACTTTCACCAACGTAGTCTACGTTCCATCCTCCGTGTTCGCTGGGAAGACGATTTTTTTTTTTTACGGGCATTAGCCCACCCGGACACAGGTCATTTTTAATGACCCACATCAAGTCCTGGGGGGCAAAAATATAAATAATAATAATAATAATTACGATGATGATGATAATAATAATAATAGTAATAGAATTAATAAAAATATATAAAAATAGATAACAATTATAATAAAAGAAAATAATATTAATAAAATTAAAAAAATTATAAATAATAATAATAATAATAATATCAAAAGTGAGAATTTATATATGTACTCGTATGTTGTGCTATCAAAATAAGAGAAACAATTGAGACCCTGCAATTGTGTGTAAATGAAGCAACTGTAGGAGCATCGAGGCTACCATTATCCATGACCAACTACGCTGGACTGGCCATGTTACCCGCATGGATGACAGTAGACTGCCAAAGCAGTTACTTTACAGTCACCTAACGAATAGTAAACGTAACGCCGGCGGGCAACTGAAAAGGTACTGTATAAGGATAGTCTTAAGACAAATCTGAAAAGTGCCAAATCGACCCCTCACCTGGGAGACGATTATTCCACACTGTAACGCTTGGTGGAGCACCACACGAGAAGGTGTTAATACTTTCGAGTTAGTCCGACTGCAAACAGAGGCAGACAAGCGCCAGCGCCAGAAAGACGAGGTCGCCGCCCCTCCCGCACTAGATGTAGCCCTCCACATGTGCAACATCTGTGAACAACTCTGCCGGTCCCGTATCGGCCTCTTTAGTCACCTTAAAACTCACCAACCAAGGTGACATCCCTAATAACTCATATCATTGTATCATAGCTGGATGATCGTCATACTTGATTCCGAGTGACAGCAAAGTAGTAGTAGTAGTAGTGTGAGGAAAAAGGATAAACTTACAACGTATTGTGAAACAAAAACATAATTCGCCATTCGATCAACCAGGAAATAAACACAAGACCCTGAGAACGGTGCACACTTCCTGAGAAGCTTGACGCTGTACATTAATGTGTGTGTGTGTGTGTGAGCGGCATCCTGAGTGTGTACGTGAGCGGCATCCTGAGTGTGTACGTGAGCGGCATCCTGAGTGTGTATGTGAGCGGCATCCTGAGTGTGTATGTGAGCGGCATCCTGAGTGTGTACGTGAGCGGCATCCTGAGTGTGTATGTGAGCGGCATCCTGAGTGTGTACGTCCTGAGTGTGTACGGCATCCTGAGTGTGTACGTGAGCGGCATCCTGAGTGTGTACGTGAGCGGCATCCTGAGTGTGTACGTGAGCGGCATCCTGAGTGTGTACGTGAGGGTCTTACCTTACCGACACTTAGCTAGTTGTGATCACGAACATAAATACCTTAGTCAATGACTCAATGGCCACTCCCACACGGCTTAGCTTGTACCAGCGATAGTTTTCCGTCTTTCTTTTTCTGCCTGTCTCTCTCTGTATCTCTTTATCTCTCGTTTTCCACTCCAGTTTTTGTCTATGCATTATTACACCTTCCTTCTTGCGAATAATTAAGCTACACACACACACACACACACACTCACACACACTCACACACACACACACACACATTCACAAGTGTGTAGGTAGTTATTGCTTACACGATTAGTTTACATAAGACACCTTACCGTGATAAACCAGGTGACTGACTGAATGTGCCCCCACACCTGACAAAACACACCTGGCTTATGAATGATTAAATTCTTCCTCCAGTGCATCAGGTTACCCCTCGTGTTGTCAATACTTGTGACTTTCTTTAATAAATCAACTACGTAAATATTCCGCGAATGTGACAGAATAAACTTATATATTGTGGACATTACGGGCGAAAGGATGTATAATTATAGGGGTTAAAGAACTTACTGGTTGAATTTTTATTGCTGCGTTATCGATGTGGATGCCGAACTGTATACAGGCATAATCTCCATACAAACTGAACTAAATGAAAACTGGTATGACCATTTTAATGAATATATATATTAAAAAAGTGTGCGCCAGACCACGAAAATAGACACATCTTAAGTGAATATATAGGAATGGAAATTTATGTTGGGTTTAATTTGAAAAGAAAAATTACATGAATTAAACAAAACAGCTTAAACGTGGACCTCATACTGCGGGCACTTGACCTCTTCAGTCCACAGCTTTGGGTAGCGGTTGGGTCTGTGGTAACCCAAGCCATGTGTACCACTATTGAGTTTTAATTGCTGATGACGAGTATAAATGATTTACTAACTTAGAATACACGTTTGAAGATATTATTTGCTGGAGCTCACTAATACATACCGGAAACCTTAGCGAGGATGCAGCTGGCTTGATAGTGTGGTTGGATCTGGTGACAAAAAACACCTGCTGTGATTTGTCCCAAGTGATTGATAAAAACCACCTGATTACCTGGTACCCCGCCGGACGCTGGGATCCTGTGATTATTGCGCTATACAGTACGCTGTCTAGTTCAGTATTGTGAAACATCCGTCAGTTAGAAATTGTCCCACCTAAAGATTACCCTCCCCTTCCGATTTATGTCACCTCATAATTGAACATCCGAACGATTTCTTTTTGTTGGGGTTAGGTTAACGTTCACGTGGTTAATCTTAAAGTGACATTATCTTCTCGTGATCCGAAACCTTTTAAATATTATGATCGGGCAAAAACAATATTTAATTTTTTTTTACGGGGATTAGCCTACCCGGGCACAGGTCACTGACCCACATCGGAGCCTGGGGGGCGAAAATGTAATAATAATTCATAGTAAATAAAATTTATAATACAAAATTTAAAAAAATAGATAAATAAAGATAAAAATAATAATAACAACACTGTAATAATAATTATAACAATAATAGTAATAAAGAACCATAAAGAAATTCAAAAATGAAAAAAATAGATAAAAAGTGAGAAATAATATATGAACACGGTGTTGTCAATAGTAAGAGAAACAATTGAGACCCTGCAATTGTGTGTAAATGAGGCAGAAAGTCAGATCAGTACCCTGGGACTTGGTCACATATGGCAGCAGGGTCTACCATTAGACAACACATTATGCTTCCAATATCTTCCCAGGTGGTAGTACCTCCCTGTTTGATAGCTGCCTACTACCTACTACTGTAATTAGATGGAAAGTGGTGTTTATGAAGACTAAAAATCAATTATCTATATCTAAATTATTATCTTGCTTCTCAGGAATATTATTAGAAGGAAACTCAAATGTGATATATCAGTTTATCTATAAAACAATAATAATCAACGGTATTTCACATATATACATAACAAATCTGTACAAAATATAATACAGTTCATCTTTTTGGTCTGTATACCTGGAAAGCTAAATATTATTTAGAAAAACCAAGAGTATATAAAAAAGTTACGTCGATGTGTACTAATAACAAGATTAATTAAAACGCGCGCGCGCACACACACGTCTTAAAATTACTTTGACAGCAAGAAACTGTTTTCAATTATCAAAATTTCCTCACAAATAGTACAGTAGAATATCGTCAGGATGCAGCACCGGAATACCCTTTTGAAAAGAGGATTACAAAGTGACGCGTATTGTCCTGACTATAATAGAAAATAAAATCAATGCTATACCCGAATGTTTACTGTAATAAAAAATAACAAGAATATTAATAGTCCTGAGAAAATGACCCACGCATTCAAAATATGATCGCCTAAAATTTTGTTTTAAATATTTTATTCAGTAATGTTCTGTTTTCACTTTCTAATTATACAAATTAAATATCTGGAGTTAAAAGAAAGGATAGACACAGTATAAATTTATAGGGAGGAAGGAGCGATGAGAGCTGTCATCCATAAAGGTATTTATTTATGTTTTATTATTTCGGGGAACAGCTCACCCTTGGCAGGTCATCGACCCACAACGGGGCCAAGGGGTGGGGTGAAAAGTATATTTAAAAAAATAATAATAAATAAATAAAAAACAAGAGAAAAAGACTGTTGATCTACACCACGAAGATGCCGGAAAACCAGCTTTTTAAAGCGAGACAGATTGTAAGAGGATGGAAACAGAAGGCAGAGCATTACACAGTTTGGCTGTATTATGACGGGTTATTCTAGAGTGACCGACAGCCACAGAAACTGCATGGGCACTGCAGGCAAGACAAGTGTTACGAGCCCAAAATCTACCTTACATTCTGTAAACGAAGAGAAAGGGAAGAGAGATTATCAACTAAAGGAGGAGAGTCAATAAGACGAAATGCCTTTGATTCCACTCTATCTAACAGTTGGACAGAGAACCACCCCAGATAATATCTGCTCCCATATTATGAGAGCAGTACTCCAAGTTAGGACGAATGAATCCCTAATAAACTTGAAGCAACTGCTCAGGAGTGAAGTAGCTACGGCATCTGTACAGCATTTCCAGCTTTAGTAATGTTGTGGATGTGTGGCTTCCATGACATATGAGAGGAAATGGTGAGGCCTAGCATATCTGTTTTAGAATTTGGCAAAATGTTTGCGTCCAGAAATGCGACTGGTAAGAGATCTTCTATTTTGGAAAGTGTAATGGGTAACTCCCGAGTTTCATTACTTTTGAATTTAACCAAGTTTATACCACCCTATTTTTTTATATTATTATTACCCAGATCCGCAGTGACAGATGAAACCTTACGTGGGCGAACGAAGACATAATATGACCTGCTGATAGACATAAGGTACTTCATGCAGTTACCATCACACATCTTTATTTCTTATTATACCATCATATATTTATAATGCTTCCTTTTATATCATCACACACAGCTATATTTCTTATTATACCAACACACATCTACAATACTTCCCACATAATTGTACCATCATTCATAATTCCTCCTATATAATTATACTATTACACATCTATAATACGAGTCGTGAAAAATGCAGTACAAAATAAATAACTGAATAGAAGGGAGATTTTTCATGACGGTTCAACTTTAATATTAATTAAGGCACATCATTTACCAAGAACTATTCACACTTAACTATACAGGATTTGAATAATGATTATTTCTTCCAAATGAGATTCGATTATTTATTTATATGGAATGAACATGGGTTTATGCACTAACATCCTCAACTTACATAAACATAGCACATAAAATACAGGGTATATTTGGCCCGTGAATCACAGTATAGTTGCTGGTTTAAATTCATCGCATCAGTCACCTGTTACTAATGTACAAATATAAACCAGTAATTTAAGTTAATCTATAATAATTAAAATAATGCCATTTAGTGCGTTCGCTTCATCGACTATAAAATCTATTTAGGGTGCAGTTGATGAAGTAGATGACTGAATGAGGTGAAGTGAAAAACATTTTATAGTATGAAATTTATAGAGCATCAACAACTCGTTTAAAATTTTACGCTACTTATTTCTTACACTCATACTGAACATCTATCATATTTGTTCAAGAGTAAATTTTTGTCTCGATTATATGAATGGATTAGTTTTGTATTCAGTTAGATGATTATATCACATTATCAAGCTATGACACTGTACCACACCGCTATAAGTTTAGGCTCCATACATTGAAATATAGAGTAATAATATTATAACAAAAACACATATCAATAAATAAACTTTTATCACGCTCTTTGTTTGTAAGTTATTGCTACACGTTACTAAAGACTAAACTTGGTAGGTAGGCATTTTCATCCGAATTATATTACAGCACGTTAAAACCATCTCATTTAACACACACTAACCAACTCAGTAAATGGTAAATTTCAAACATTGCGCCAGTAGCGTACGGGCGACACATCTGCTCTAGTGATCACCTACTGTACTGTGCGCTCACTGAACAGCCTCACAAACATGAAATGGGTAACCACTTCGTCAGATATCTTGTTTACGTGTGAACAAATAAATCACTATTAAATAAAAACAAATGTTTCTTAAGTATCTATAACAATCACTTCCGCCCTCCATCATCGGTAACCCACTCAGACTGACGGTGGGGAGCTGTATCCTTTGGTGGGGACAGGTGCATGCTCATCTTCCTGTACAACTCAAGGCACACTATCCACGTGGGTTGTATTTATGCTAAACTAGAAAACACTGCATTGAAGTTGTTGCTGGCATTTATGATAAATTAAATACTTCCTGGTTATGAAATTTAAATCTCATTTTTTTGGGTGAACATCATATGAGTAGAAGCGAATGACAACTTTGCATTTTCAGGGTAATAGCAAAATAATTTTAAATTTATATATTTTTTGTTATTTTCTTTAGTTTTGAAAGCAATATCACCAGCATAAGGTGTTTTTAACACCGAAATGAGATAATACAAATACATTTTACTTGTATACAATTTTGTCTGTCTCACATTTAGCATAATACCAGCATTGGTCACAACATCAGAGCGGGTACAAGTAGGCAGAGGAGTAGTGGGCCAATTGTAAGGGAGTGACGAGGTGGTGTCCCGTTGCAGTAGTTGTCGGAGCAGTAGCAGACGGTGGCAGAAGTGCGGCGTCCTTCTTCATTGGCGGGATAACACTTCTCCTCCACCAGTTCTTTGCCAGAGTCCAGTATATCTCGACCCGAGCAGTACCTCTCTGTTACAACCACTCCTGCAAACACATACTCAAATTTGGAAGTTATTGTTGCTACAACAAAATGTCCAAATTTTAACATTTTTTTTACCAATTTCATTAGTATTAGTTGTAAGTCTCACCTGTGACCCTGCTGAAGGTCTCCTTCTTGACGCAGAGCTTGACGTCGGGTGAGCAGGTCTCGATAGCTGATGTGTCCAGATCCAGGCAATGATCCTTAGCTCGACACTTGTAGCACACTCGCGGATCGCCTGAAAACATAATCGTAGATTATACAATGGTAACAAGATGGTAAAAGCGGTGCTCATTTATGTTGAAAGTTGTTCTTAGTGGTATGGATTAAGACGTACGGTGTGCAACTCACACCCTCAACAGTGTAAGCACTCTTATCAAATGTCTTAATATATACCAGCCACAGGTGTTTAACACTCATACACACCTTTGTGAAAATTCTAAAAGTCGAGAGTGGGACCTAAAGACATTAAAGGAAAGTTTAGGCGTTTATTGTAAGGTGTTTTAGATGCACAGAATAGTTAACGCGTTAGCTATTGTCTGCGCAGACGCTTCTGCTGAGTACTGCGCATGACAGCTAACAACCAATCAGTGAGTTTCTCCCACTAAAACAGTGGGGGGGCATGGAAGGCATGTGGGGGTCATGTAAGACAATAAAAAACTGTGATATAATAAAAATAATCATATATACGGTAGTATATTGGATAGGACCTAAAACAAACTTATGGCGTGAAAAAAATTAAAAGGATTGCGCCTAGTTGAAACCTGTTTTGGATCAGTCCGTTTTTAAGTGGACGCTGTCCGATTTCATTATCGGATGGTGACTTTGGCTTAACACTATTGATAATTACTAAAATATGATTGCAACCTTAATATCATTACTCATAAGATATTCTAAATAAGGGTGAACAAGTTGATTACAGTTCTGTAAGTGCAAAAATTAAGACAAACGAACCTGAAATTCGTCGTATTTCGTGTACAAATATGCGAACACCTAATGTAGTTTCAGAGTCTGGGAGAAATTACCTTTACAACTGGCCTGATTTTTTGTGTTATTCTTATTTATTGTTGACTGATTGACTTTTTCCTTTTTTGTCTTTCTTTCCATAATTTTATATATATTTTCTTCATTATTTCTTTCCGTATTGTGTCCAAATAATAGTTCTCCTAATTTTATTGTTTTCTGAAGACTGTTGCACAATTCCCAAGACGCGGTACAATGTCGTACTTTTTAATGACAGTCCGGGAAAGTTAACGCCTTAGTTATTCCGTGCATCTACAAAAAACTTGCATATATATATATAATGTGTATGTGTGTGTTATTTCTTGCCTTAAAAGCAGATACATACAGTAATTCCTATAATGATATGAAAATCTTCAGAAAAAATACATACAAGGGCGTATTTTCTCCACTTAAGTCTTATACTGCAATTCATTCAGCGCATCGGTAAGCCTCTTTAGATTCACACATGCTTAACTGGTCTCATTAGAAAGTGTTTATTAAAAATATTGAAGGCTAATTTCTACAACTTTTAAGTTAGCAAACATCAGTCCACTGGTTTTCAAACACAAGAGGATAATAACTAAACCCTCACCACCTTCTCTTGTGACAAGGTAAATATTAAAGATGTGTATCGCTGTCAGGGTAAATATTACGGTAGTCTCGGATATGAATGACTTTCATTGTGTACCTTTTTAGAATCACTGTTCATGTGTCGTAAACCATTTATATAAGTATATTGTATTACAGTATAATGGTCTGGAGTAGTTGAAGATATTACATTTATCAACAACATCAACAGTAAATGTTTAACTCTCAGAAGCTCTACATGATAATGCCACTGAGGATTTACGATGAGACTGTAATGGATGCTAAATTATTTATAACAGCCTCCACTAACAGCGAACATAGCTTGTGTATGTTAATATTTTATTACTATGTATAAATATGTTTCAACAAATATTTCTTTTTAAGAAATGAGATTTTTAATTGAGAAAGGCAACAGTATCTACAAAATTCTTCAATAGCAAAATTAAATTATTTATAGTAGCTTAAAATCACACACTTGCTTCTCTACACTGAAATATAACACTGAATGGAATACACTAAAATGTGACAAAAAATCATTTGAGTTTGTTGAGATCACTTGAAGATTAGGCACCCCAGCTTATTTCACCTGAAGATAAATCACACTAAAGATAACCTAACCTACCCCCCCCCCCCTCCGCAGTGACAGTCGTTCGTACCTTTGTCGTGTTAGTTCACCTTACAAGTACATGAAGCCTCGACGAGTTTGTGGGTTGGTCGACGGTAAACTAGCGCCCTCCGGAAGCCTTGATGCAACAAATTTTCAGTGTCGCGTCACAATAACCAGAAAAATACCAAGAACACAGACACACGGGGAAAAACATACGACTTTTTAATAATTGTAACCACAAAGGTCTTTTCTCCACTTTCTCAAGACCCAAAGTACACTTAGGTATAGAGACCTCTAATGACTCATACGTTCATAAACAAACAATGCGTCCACGGGTCTAAAATACGTTCACAGAACTCAAAATACCTTCACATGATTCAGTATACGCTCATGGAAGTTAAAAAGGTACACCACTGTAGTTTGTATACCTACAGTCTATGTGTATACATTGTTTGTATACCTGCCATCTGTGACTGTACATTGTTTGTATGCTTACACCATGCACTGTACACTGCTTGTACATTACACCAGTGGCGGCTCGTGCATAGGGCTGCAGTCCCCCCAGACACTCACTGCCAGGCGTATGATTCCTTTAGAGAGACAGCTGAATAATACACTACCAACAAATATATCATTTTATATGTTATTTAATTATTTTCAATACGTTGCTAAGTGAATTTTCATTAAAATCAGACCAAAATTTAAGTTACTTTCATAGTTGCTGTCAATGCTGTACGATTCATGTCTGTTATTAATTGGCGCCGCCGCCGCACTTGAAGCAGCTCAGTCTCGTACAACGTGTGGACGGTGTGGTTAAATCGTGCTTTCTTTAATTACCCTTTGACGATGGAAAATCGAGTGAAGTATTTGCAAAACATCAACTTTTCCCAGCTGACATTAAATGAAAAGACTGAAATCAAAGCAAGAGGAAGACCTACACCAGTTTTATCCATTGAACAGAACAGTACAAGCAGGAACAAAGAATATACACGCCAGTTTAACATGAGTGTTTATGGCTCTGTGGTTGTGACGAGGCAAATACTTTATTCTGCTTTCCATGCTTATTGACAGACTGTCTGCTTTAGCAGTGATATCCATTGAAAATAAAATGATAACAGAAATAAAGGATTTTAATGAAATAGTAATAAACAATTTTGCTACATCGAAGAGCAGACACGCCGACTTTATTTTCAATTAATACTGGTCCATCACCACCAACACTACTACCATGCCCTGGGAATTCGTGGACATCAACTACAACTCATACCTGAGGTAGGTCAAATTTGTGTATCCTACTGTTGTGTGAGGCTTACAGTCCCTCCATTTTATTTTTCACGAGCCGCCACTGCATTACACTATGTACAAAGTATGAACATGTCACAATATACTCGTATATTCGCCCCTTCCCATGACTCAACAAAACGTCAGTACCGTTTATCTTATCAGCGTTTAAACGAGAAAACCTAATTAACGAGGAAGACCTCTATATGGTAATTACAATTACGGAACAATCTAATATACGTAAGTGTTCTCACTGGGGAATGTCTTGTCATTCTCTTCAATACGTTCGTCTAGCTAGCGGTCTGTCTGTCTCTTTCTCCCGTGTCTTATTTAAATATTTATTCAACTAATGTACCTACAGGTACTGTATGTCTATATTTTTATCTATCATATTTTGATTTATATATTTCATCTTCAGTCTCACCAGAGTGTGTGTGTGTGTGTGTGTATTTCAACTTAACACCCAGGCAAGATGTTATATAACCATAGTTAATTAATTAAGACTGAAAAGTGCAACTTGAGTGCAAAAAGTTCATGCCTGTAACTTAACAATGTCGCCAGTACTTGAACTAAGTTGAAATCATTTCCTAGTATTAACTTGTGTTATGTTTATAGATGTAATAAACGACTCCAAGTGTAAACTTTTTCTTGTTCCGGTTTAAAAAAATGAACCGATCAAAAAATTCTTTACACGTCGTTGTAGTCACCATTCCCACTGCTGGAGGTGAAACCGAGGGTCACAAAAACTTACCATCAACACAACTCAAGAAGTACAAGTTGATAGTACGTGACGCCCGGAGGTTCAAAGGGCAGAAACTATTTAGATAAAATGTTTAAATATCCTTGAATATCTTACATAGGCCCCACAACACATATGACCACAGAAATACCCATGATTTCAGGGTTTATTGCAATGCAGGTTCTCTGGACTGTTTAGCTAATCCGTGATTTCATGAACCACCACAACTTCCTACTGCTTTGTTTTCCTGCAACTAAAAATCACTGCACGATATTACCTGCTCGACCGGGCCCAGCTAGGATTACCAGCACCAACACAACACTGGGCAACATCTTCCACCGGAGACACGTAAGTAAGTTCCTCTCACACAACCACCACTTTGTTAATATCACCACACACCCCCACTACCGCGTGGAAGTGTGCTCACGAGGTCCCCAGCGGTGGGTGTGAGGTATCTGGGTAACGTGTGAACGACACACGTGGCCTCACTGGACTGACTCACCAAGCCTGTGTCAGTCCTGCCGTAACGCGCCACTGGAAGGATCAACTCAGCGTTGACACATTCGCGATTTATTTCCAGACCTTTACAGCTGTCGCACCTTTGGAACAGATAATGTGACCAGCTATCATAACAGGAAATCGTGAGTACAAAATGAAGTTTTCAGTTACCTATAAAGAAGAGTTGACTCGGAAATGTAAAAATATATATTTAAAAAATTGCCTTAACTGCAAGTCAATATACGTTGAAGATGACGTCTGTGCCCTTTGATTTTCTTACAACTTAATTGCAGTGGTTCTCATTTATTATAATAATCTAAACATTTACAAGGTGAAATCGTTACAATAGATGATAACATTACTTATTAATGTCAAGCGTAAGATACATTCGCTTTTGTCCATGGAGTAGAGAGCTAATGAACGACCGCAAAAAGAAACTGAAAGGAAAAGAGAAGTGAACGAAACTAAGTGAGCACATCTAAGGGTTACGGTCAGAGGTTCTCAGACAGTGAGTGGGTGAGTCCCACCGCTCAAGGCTGCGTGTGCTGCCCAGTCCTCTGGGACGGGTAGAGGCTCTACCATAGAGCGATATATCCTGGGATAGGTCTGAGACGAGTCTTGGAATGGATCCTGGGATAGTTTTGGGACGGGCCTTGGAATGGTCCCGAGGGTAGGTCCTGTGAGTGATTGTGGAATGAGCCATGTTAATATTGTTATTATTATCCACTCTGTATCTGTATTTTTCTGGCTAAATAAAATGTTTCAATCAATCAATCAATTCCTGAGGCAAGCTTTGGGATGGATCTTGGAACGGTTCCCGGGGTGAGTCTTAGGGCGGGTTGTGGGGTTGGTCTACTTACCGGTGTGTGTGTTGGCATGGGTAGAGAGACATCAGCAGCAGGGTGACGTGTAGAAGTTGTAGCAGGTGTACAGTACATCATTATGTTATTATATTGTACTTGGAGCATTCGCAATTCATGAGTTGTCCCGAAGTGAAGCAGCGTTCGACATGTGGTTGGTATGTTGTTCTCTATTGCCTTTTTGATGTTAAGTAGAAAGGTATCTGTTTCGTTGTCTATATCTTCCAGTATTTTTCCTTGAAGATCTGGAATATAGACTTCTTCTAGTTGCTTCCTGTAACCTTCCCAGTCTGATTTTTGTATTTAGAAACGTGGTGGCTGTTGGAACTTGGATTGGGCTTGTGGACAATTTTATTATCATTGGGATATGGTCCTTGTTTTAGACGGTAATTGAGGAAAGAGCCTTATTATTGGTGAAGACTTTGTCTGGGGTTGTTTTGTTAATGCCAATGAATGTGGTGAAGTGTGGTCCTAGGTGGATCAACTTCCCTGTGTTCATTATGGTATGCAGTGCAGTGCCTATTCTGTTTCCGTGGCCGAATATTGGATGTTTTGGGTTTAAATCTCCTATTATGTACATTGGGCAGCTGTAGTTCAATAGTTTTACCAGGTCTGGGGCCGGTAGGTAGTTCCTTGGCGGTAAATACTGTATGCTGTGGCTGTGGCTTTCTCTTCAAGTGTGGTAGTGATTTTGATTCCCAGGAATTCGTCCTCGAAATCGTCGATGATTTGATGTTTTAGTCTGTGTTTTACAGCAATGGCCACACCATCATTTAATTCTTCTGTTTTATTTCTTTGGTAGGTTGTATTTCCAAATATTTTTATTTTATTGGAATTTGCCGTGACTATTCATTAAAATTATGTCCGGATCAATGGTGAGGTATGTGCTTGGGAGGTTGTTTTTATTTGTTTCCCAGTTGCGGACGTTGTGTTGTTTGGTGGTAAGTCTACTTTCTTTCTTTTTATTTCGTTATTCATTGTGTTCTTGTTTTTTTTGTTTCTTATTTGTTGCACGGGTGGGGACCTCTTGTCCGCGACCAGTCTGTTTCGGATTCTTTGGAATTTTCATTGTTTTTTTGTTTTTTTAATTTGTGTCTCCTTATTTTAATTCTTTGGTTTATGAGGTGGGCTTCTACTAGTGCTTCACATTATTTATCGTTAGAGTAGGTCCATTTTAGTTCTTGTTTCGTAATGGCTTGTATTATGTCTGGCATCGTTCTGCATTCACTAGTTACTAATATTTTATCACACCAGTGAATCTGTAGTTCACAGTCGTCTGCATATTCTAATGTCTGAAGCGTTTCCTCGTCCTCGGTATCCATGGTTGCTGTTGTGACTTTTTTCCTTACAGCTCCTGTTTCTCTTTGGATGGTATTTTGAAGGTTCTGCCTCTCTACTGTACTATGGGTGGGTGTTCTGATCATTTGTGGCTTTGTCTTGTCAGCTTCTTTTGTTTCGTGTAGTGTTGCTGTTACGGCTGGTGTTTGCTCTGCTGCTCCTTTTTTCTTCTGATTTGTCTCCCACTTATGGTGTTACTGGGTTAGTTAGGCGGGACGCTTGTAGCACAGATCCAGAGGCTGGGTTGCCTGGGAAACTCATTGTTGGGATATTGTTTCTTTCCAGCATTCTGTTCATCTCTGTTTCGAACGTGCCGGGGTTCCCTATGTTCATTACATGAGAATATATCAGGCAGATGAGCACTCTGTAGTCTCGTATTTCTCCCAGTACAATAATTTTGGTGGTATTCTGTGGTTGTGTTGTTTCTTCCACTACTTTTTTGCAATAGCAGCATATGTTGTGTTATTCTTCTGTTCTTGTTGTTTTTTCCTTTGCTACTTTTTCATGCATTACCTTCTTTTTGTATGGACAGGCCATTGCTAGGGTTCTGTGGGTCTTATATCCTGGTTCCTTCAGACTTTTACAGTTAATACACGCTTTGGCTTGATTCTTGCAGTCCCGGAAAGTATGGCCTTCTTCTGCACATTCAGAGCATATTTTAAGTTCCTTTTGTGGACAGTCTTTTGTTACATAAGATTCATGTTCGTAGCAGATAATGAAGGTGAGAATATTAACGTATTTCTACCTTTCTATTTGTTTAAGGAGTACTGACATGTTGAACCCTAAAATTCCAGTTTCCGGGGCCTTGTCTGCCATTGAAGTGTCAGTGAATCTCAACTTTAAGCAATGTTTATATTGTTTTATTGTTACCACTTCTTCGACTTTTAACCTGGTTTTTTTTAATTCTAGTTCTTCTTTTATTTCTGTGCCGAGTGCTTTCCAAATTCATAGTCAAGTCCACGTACAAATACTGATCCCTTAGCTTTAACCTCTGGTGGCATGATGACCTGGAGTCCTATGCCCCCAAAGGCTTGCATTCCCTCGGGGCTCAGAATAGTATCTGCGTCCCTATTGTCCCTGCATATTACAGTGTATCCATCGTTTGTCGAGAAAATCCTTGTGAAGGTTACACTGAGTGTACCATACGCTGTTTCGGTTATCTGAGCACGTGAAGGGGCTGTTCTCTTGTCTATGATCTTGAGTCTAACCTTGGTAGCAATGATTTATTTGTTTATGTCTTCCTAGCATGTATTAATTGTGGATGATAAAGAAGGTTATTCAAGACCCTTCTTAGTGTGCCTATAGGCGACCCCCGGACAGTGGTGTAACTGCACTATCTCTGTTTTTCCACTGCCGGATTGGCCTGTGTTCCCCCGACCTCCAACGGACACACACAATCCCACCTACTGTGAGGTGTGGTCCACTGGAGGGGCTCTAGCACGAATACTTAAATATAAGCAGGTGCCTCGGCCAGGGTAAGGAAGGAAGGATTTCAGTAAGAGAGAAAGACCTCAAACCACGTCAGTACTGCCAATCAATAGCTGCCCTCCAGCGGGAGTGTGGGTCACTCACTCTGCCCGTGGGGAGGACTAGTTAGGGTTGACAATCCTGAACGCTTGTGAGGTAATCCGGTGACGGTCGTGGTCGTTATCCAAGGTGGAGGCCCACAAAGGGCGTTGCCCTAAACAGGATTCCTGAGACGTCCAGTGATAATCAGAGAGGTCGAGTTTGTGGTCCGGTCGTCAAGAGTAGAAACAAGGCTGGCTGGCTTTGGCGGTGAAGGGTCTGGAGAGAGGTCTGATCACAGCGAAGGCTGGCTGGCAAGTGAGTCATGGTATTAGAGCCGCGAGCTAAGAGGTGAAAGAAGATTATTAGGGATTGAAGAAAAATGGTGAAACTGAAATACAGTAGGAGTAGAAAGAATCTGGGCTCAACCAGATCGCTTCATCTTATCTATTGTTTTCCTCTTTGCTGTGCTCCCTCGGGTCGTCGGACCTTTATTCTAGTATTGGTTTATTTATATGGTGCTGCTTATTATACTTCTTCCTTGGTGTTTTTTTACTGTGGTGGAGTTAGTGAGCCCTCCCAGGTCCTTGTGTGGCTGGGAGGGTAGTCAAATTTTTTTTAATTGATAATGCGTTAGTTAAGTGTTAGTTGTGTTAGTCTAAAGGTACACTGTATGGAGAGGCCTGCCAGGTTCTTAGTGGAGCTGGTAGGTCACTCTCATCTTTATTCTCTATTAATGTTTTATGTGTATATTGGGGCAGGAGATGGTTCAATTACTTTCTTCCTGGCTTATTTAAACCAACTGTGTTCTTGGAATTCTTCGTTGTCTATATTATTTATCCAGTTTTGGTATGTTTCTGTGTTAAGTTCAGTCACTTTTTTCCAAATATTTGCAGCTTTGTTGTGTATATCTACATTGATTGCTAAGAGGTTTGCTCTCTTGTGTAGCTGTTCATTACTGATGTGGTCTGTATATTTTATGTTATATATAAATCTGAGGGCTATATTTTGTACTGTTTGTAACCTTTTAATGCTCGTTTTATTAAGGGTGTTCAATGGGATGGGTGGGTAGTCCATAATTGATTTGACAAGGGCTATATAAATCTTTCTCTTGTTATTAATGCTAAGGTTCTTAAAGCGTTTTATTTTTGATAATCTTATTCTTGCCTGTCGTTCTTTATCTTTTAAGTATGTTATATATCCTCTTTTTGTTAGTGTTAATCCAAGCATCCTGCCTTCAGTGTCGTATGGGTATAGTTCCTGGTCGACTATTACTGGACTTGTTTTGATCTTGGCTATTGGTATTATCTT